TGGCTACGTTTACACCGTGCATTTAGGCCGCGGCCTATACAATAGATGTCCTTGTTTATCCTGTATATTAAACAAAGACACCTATGTATAGGTCACGGACTAACAGTACGGTGTAAACGTAGTCGATGTCTTTGTTTATCCTATATATTAAACAAAGGCACCTATCGTATAGGTCGCGGACTAAGCACACGGTGTAAACATAGTCACTGTCACCAAGCTCAGTTAATTTAACTGGCCAGTTAGTCCATCGGAATTGGCCAATCGCATTTGTCATTTTGTTTGAAGGGCCATAGCACACAAAAAAACTTAAGCAATAAAACGTAAGCAGTAAGCGAATTGACCAATCACAGTAGAGTCCGTAAGGCTATACATAAGCAGTAGCAAATCCAACATGTTGATTTCCTTACTGCTTACGTCTTACTGCCTTAAGTTTTTTGTTTGCCAGGGCCCTTAGAAGTGTAAAATCCGTAAGTAGCTTCCTAACTTAGCAAATAATATTATCACAATGCGTTAATCATATAAAAGGAATTTTATTATACAATATACATTATTTACAAAATACATAAAATACCCCGGATCTACAACAAGGTTTTAAGCCTTAAGTCATAAGAAATGGGTGAATCACAGTCGATTATTCCCCTCGGATTCGACTGTAATTGGTCAATTTTTTACGGTTTAAGTCTTAAAACACCTATTGTAGATCCGGACTTAAGGCCATCACACGTACAAGAATTTTAGTCGTAATCATAAGGTCGCAAGCAAATTAATTGCGGGGTCTACAATAGAAGTCGTAACGGTCGTAGGGTCTTAAGTCGTAGAAAATTAATCCATCATAGTTGATTATTCTTCTCATATTCGACTGTGATTGGTCAATTTTCTACGACTTAAAACCCTACGACTGCTACGACTTCCATTGTAGACCCCGCAAACCAATCACAATCAAAATTACGATCTCGCGTTTCAAAACGCCCGACTGTGATTGGCTGATTTGCTTACGGCCTTACGATTACAACTAAGTCCGAATCTACAATAGGTGTTTTAAGCCTTAAATCGTAAGAAATTGACCAATTACAGTCGAATTCGAGGAGAATAATCGACTATGATTCGTCCATTTCTTATAGCTTAAGGCTTAAAACTCTATTGTAGATCCAGGGTAAAATTTTTTTACGTGTGATGGCCTTTACCCCGATCTACAATAGAATGTCAAGAAGGATAGAATGATGTTTATGTTGACTGTGTCTCCTAAATAGAAAGCAATCTGTCATCTGTGACGTTTGCTGGAGAGTATCCAAATTATAGCAAATTCGATCATTACTCTAGATTAGTGCATACTAATAGTTGCTTAACATGAAATTGGAAAAGTTAAATGTAAAAGTATATAAATATTTTAAATAATTAAATACAGCATTGTTATGTATATATCATATATGTATACAATAAATTGATTGTATTATACCACTGCATTTATTTCATAAAGTAGCTTATTTTTAATATATACTAATTTAATGTAATCCGAGTGAACAAAATGTACCACTTTACTTTTTTTTTTACTTTCGTATGACCAGTATGACTATGCACTAAAGCTCGTATCAGATTACACAGTAGAGATTAAAGCCCGTATCAGACTATATACGTATCTGCTGCCGCCACCGCTACTTATCAGCGGAATCAGTGGTGCCGTTGACAGATCGGCCTCCACTATTCCACTTCCCAATTAATTTCATTTCTCGGTAGGTTGGAAATCCAAGAAAAAGGATTTAAAAAAGAAGAATTTCTCTTCCCTGAATGATCAGAGCCAACAAAAAGGCCAAGATCCAAGCGTCCCACCACACTTCCGTCAAAACTTTCTCTCTAAACGCCAGGCTCGTCAAGTCAAGTCAACACGACGGTTTTGCACAAATTATGCATTAACTCGTCGATCGGCGTCACGACGCATACCTGCTGGCTGTATCAACCCTGAACAATTGATAATGTGGTCGTCTCGAAAGCAGATGACATGACACTTGTGCGCACAGTGATGAAGAACTGCGATATTAATCGCTGCGTGCCGTTTGCAAAAACAAAAAATGTTCGTCCGAGATCCTTGTGGCATCGTATGTATTATCGTCACCTATGTGGCGGTATTCTACGCTGACTACGTTGTGGTACGATGGATCGTGTTACACACTATGCAAGACAGGTTTGTACAACACACGTTTATAAACAAGAATTATCGACATTAAGTTATTAACATGGAGTTATTAATATTGAATTTTTCACATTTTACATGATATCTCACTTTTTTTTGTTACAGTTTTTTTTAATTCATTACACTTTTTTGTTGAAAAATACATTCAGCAATATTGTTTTCTTGTTCCTAGCTTATGGTGTCCGTTCCATATAATAGCATTTAATACTGTTGTACTTCTTCTTCTGATGGCACATTTGAAAGCCGTCTGCAGTGATCCTGGTATAGTACCCTTACCACAAAGTAGAATGGACTTTTCTGATATTCATGTCTCCGGAGGAAGCGATGATCATGAAAGTGATGAGAAAGACGATTGGACGGTGTGCACTAGATGTGAAACATATAGGCCACCTAGAGCACACCATTGTAGAATTTGTGAACGTTGTATCAGAAAAATGGATCATCATTGTCCATGGTAATTATGAGCTGTATGGAAAACAATAGCAATATATTAAAAAAATCAATATAATTTTTTTGTTAATTTTTTAATTTCATTGTATTTAAATGATTAATGAAATTACATTCATTTGGATTTATTAAAATTTTATAACTTTCTTGTTTAAGGATCAATAACTGCGTCGGCGAGAGGAATCAAAAGTACTTCATACAATTTCTAGTGTACGTTGGTGCATTAGCTATCTACGCTATTATTTTAGTCATTACGTCTTGGATTTATGACTGCCCACAGTGTAATACTGATATTGCAGTCAAACAAAATCGCATGTATGTACTTGCATTCTTATGAGAAATTTATGATGATTGGAATACTAATGTTGATACCTGTTGCAGCTTACATTGTGTGACATTAGTTTTGGAGTCGGGGTTATTTGGTATGTTCGTCATAGCGATTCTAATTGATCAATTTCAAGCGATCCTAGGCGATGAAACTGCCGTGGAACGCGTGCAAGGTGTACAACAACGCTATCACAAGAATACACCACGAACGTTTACGCTGTTGTCTCAAGTATGTGGAAAGAGCCATCCAATATTTTGGCTACTACCTTGCCACAATCCACCGCGTTACTCTTTCAGAAAGGACACATATTTAATCGATCACGAAGTTTGAGATCATGTACGAAACGAGTGTATTACATGTCTGCACATACACGGTATTTTTTGTATTATTTTTTTATATTATATATAACAGTATATTAGAATAATTGATTTCTTGGATTAGTACCTTAACATGTCTTTGTACGAATTATTGATATAACATAGATTTCAAATTTGTAGCTATAACGTTTCTACAGCGTGGAAATAATATATATGTATAATAAACACTCATTCTTATAATATATTAAGATGATTAATATATATTATGAATATATTAATTATTATCATTTTACATGTATATGTATATATTACATATACAGTTATATATATACATATATAATGTGTATACATATAGGTATGTATTTATTTAAATATGAACAAATAATAGCTTTAATTAGTACATGTTGTTACTTAGGTTGAACATATAACAATAACAGTAAATACATGGGATTGTAATTGATATTATGTTAATAAATTAATTTTCTTATCTTTTAAAATTAAAATACATATAAGAATAAGTGATACTTCAAGTGATACAAATAATAATTTTTTTATTTAAGATAATTATTGCTAGGAACTGTATCCTCGCCTAATAAATTTATTCGCTGCAAGGATTGTATTGTAGTATTCTAGAAAATACATAAAATTGTTAATATAATTTTAAAAAATTGAAACTTAGGTAATGAATACATGCTTTTTAAATGCCTTTGATAACAGTTTTATTAGTTTATATTACTCTTCCGTATTTATTAATTAATAATAATAGTTTTATCTGTAAATTGCGCGCGCGATTGTATTTTATTAATTAAATTAAGTTAATAAATAAAAATTTTTATTTTGAAGAGGAATATTTAACGCACGTGACAATTTATAATAATTATTTATTGAATATTAAATATATTTTGAATAATTTTACTGATATTCTTATTTTTATCTGTGTTCTGTAATTTGTGTATGCATTATATTTTAAAATTATTAACAAAGACTGCCAACCTTTCGACAAAGTTCTAGTTATATTTCAATTCAGACCACATTAGCGACATCTATCAGTAATGTTATTTTGGAGCATATCAATTCTAACCTATAATTGTAATAAGAAAACTTTTATTATTTAACATTGCTTGTATGAAATGTTGGATTAGCAACGTTAATTGATATTATTGGCTTGTTGTGTGTGTTATCTTACTATAAAAAAATCATTCCTTTATAACTAGTGTTTCATAATTTTTATAAATAACCAGATAATTGTTCACATTACCTTTAAATAATCAAACATGAGTAATAGTAT